TTATTATTATTATAATTATTTGCCCCTGCAACTGCGAACGTTCATTTCATCCCTATTTTGAGATCATTTCCTGACTTGCTGTACTAGGTAGGGGTGGACTGGCCCTTTAACCTACCGGGAAAGTTCCTGGTGGCCTGCTGCCATTGGCTGCCAGGAAGACGCTGATCCAAGCGCCCCCTTGTGGTGCTGATCGGCTCAGACACATTTTGTTATAATGGTGATAGGGGCCGGCTTGCCCCTTGCCAAGCCTTACTGCCACTGCTATCAGTTCCACAGAACGGGCCCAAACTCTGTGGACCCTACAGCACTACCGATACTGCAAAGAGCATTTGGATCAGTTTGCTGTGCATCTGTTTTAATGACCCAGCCTGCCGATATTAGGAAGTGCCGGAACCCAGCCTTTCAGCCAGAGCACTTGCCCTCTCCCTGTTCGGATTGACTCTTGTTAGCGGTTGCTTCCGTTGGAGGTTTCCTCCTGATACATCTTCGCGGTTACAACAGAGTCGCCTGTTGGCTACACACCTTCTGCGCAGCCTCCTTTGCACAATGCCGGGCAGGATCTGTCATACGCTTTGGACTCCTTCCAAGGCTTAGAGGCAACCGGAATGGCATTCTAATCAGGTGTTCATATCTGGTGTCAACAGGTCAACGTCTGCCATCGGGAACGCTCCCCCCGGTGGTGTTAGGCAGGTCAGATACTGGCTCGAGTGCAATTGGAAAGCAGTCGATTGACAATGATGGAAGAAAGGATCTCGGTTACGGGTCACTGAGCTGGCTGTAATTAATTTATGAGATTGACACCTTCAGCTGCCTCGGCCTCCCCGCTAAGTGGCATGAAGGGTAAAATCCGATTGCCGGCTGCTGATTCAGGGCTTGAGAGCGCTTGCCTGGCTGTTTCCGCCGCTTTGGAACGGCAGCTCACCGTTTGGATGCTCTGATCTCAGGTTGCAAGCCGGGCCATGATCAAACGCTGGCGTAAGCGATTGTGTATGGACTTGACCTTGCATACCAGGAGACACAGTGATGGATGGATGGCCCTCGGACTAGAAAGGAAGGTCTAGAAGAAAGAGGGGAATGGAGAGGGGAGAACAAGCAATATCTGGGGTCTTTGCGTTGACACTGAGAGATGGTGCGGTGCGGTGGGTAAAGATCCTGCTAGACTCTGACCGGAGCTGCGGTGACTCAAGTGGTTAAGATGCTGAACTGCAGGCTGTGGAAGGTCGGTAGTTCAGCAGTTCGAGACCCGGGTTGCCGCATGACGGGGTGAGCTCCCGTCTCCAGTTCCAGCTCCTGCCAACCTAGCAGTTTGAAAGCAAGAAATTGCAAGTAGAGAAATAGGTACCACTTCGGTGGGAAGGGAACAGCGTTCCGTGCGCCTTGGTGTTTAGGCATGCCGGCCACATGACCATGGAAACGTCTTCGGACAGCGCTGGTTCTTCGGCTTTGAAACGGAGATGAGCACCACAACCCTAGAGTCGGATTTGACCGGCTTTCGAGCAAGGGAACCTTTACCTTTACCTTAGACTCTGACCAGGGAAACACCCGTTCAGTCTCAGTCAACCCTACCTTGCCAGGCTGTTGTTGTTATTGTTGTTATTGTTTATTAACCGCCCAATCCCTGCTAGTGCAGGGCTCTGGGCGATGTACAATATGAATAAAAACATACACTAGGTAAAACAATTAAAATCAAACAGCACATGTTAAAACAGGTGGCGAATGAATTCATCCCATTTCAGCCTGCCGGCTATTTCGCGGGCAGGGGGGAAGGGGTAAGACAAATGTTGAGAGCCAAAGAGGGTGCCATGCTCCCTCTAAGCTGTGGAGTCCTGTGAACAAAAATCCTGCTTTGGGAGCGACTGGCGTTAAAGTCGTGAGCGAGCGACTTGGCTGCTGCATCAATTCGTTTGCTCTGGAGCCCGTCCCTTCCTGAGTGAAGATCAACATGTGTGAGCTGGAAGCTAAAGAACCGTCAGCTAGCTCACACTAACTCAGCTTAGAGGGAACACTGGGGGCCAGCCAAGATGAAAACGGCCGCTGTCCTCAACCAAAAGCCTGGCGAAACATCACAGCCTTGCAGGCCTTGTGGAATTTCATAAGGTCCCGCAGGGCCCTGATGGTACTCGGCAGAGAGTTCCATCAGGCCGGGGCCAGGACTGAAAAGGCCCCGGCCCTGGTTGAGGACAGCCAGGGGTCATTTCCTGCGGGAGCGCACAGGAGCGGAGCTCCGGCAGTAAGGAGCCCAGGGGGCAGGCACATGCAACAAGCCCCGCCCCTTGCTCCCAGCAGCCCTCAGTTGGGCCACAAGGAGCAAGAAGCAGCCAGGTAGGTTGCAGCGCACCCCCCCCGTCCGCCTTCAGGTACAAGCTCTCCCTCCTCTGTGAAGGCAGATCTGCACGTCCCCCCTCCAATAGCTAGCAATCCAAAACAGTCCAGTGGCACCTTTAATACCAAGTTTTATTCAGGTACAAGCTCTCCCTCCTCTGAAAGGACAGATCTGCACATCCCCCCCCCCCAATAGCTAGCAATCCAAAACAGTCTAGTGGAGCCTGAGCGGTGGGTGTTGCCTTCTGAGACACTTCCAGTGATGACAGGGGGTGTGACATATGCAAATAAGTTATGCTAATGAGTTATGCTAATGAGATCCTGCACCTCTTTTTCTACAAAATGACCCCTGAGGACAACCAAGATGTCTTTAGGGCTGGGGACCACCAGTAAGTTCCTATCTGAAGAGCGCAATGCTCTCCCAGGGACATAATGGAGGTTCTTGTGCGGACAGAAGCGCTTTGGAGAAAAACAAAAAATTGCAATCGTGCTGTTGAACACGGAACACAGCTGATGGACACAGATGAAGCTGCCTTGATCTGAATCAAACCACCGGACCATCGAGGTCAGTATTGTCTTCTCAGACTGGCAGCGGCTCTCCAGGGTCTCCGGCCTTTCCCATCACCTACCATCTGCTCCTTTTAACTGGAGATGCCGGGGATTGAACCCGGGACCTCCTGCATGCAAGACAGGGGCTCTTCCACTGAGCCACAACCCCTCCCCTGATATTAACTGTCAGGGCTATACAAGTGTGCTCTTTTTTTGGTTTTTTTAAAAAAACTGCTGTGAACCTTTGTGTTTCAATGATATGTAACCAGCTTCTGAAAGGTGTTTGTAGAGAAAAGAGCCTCCGGAAGTTGGTGACTAGCAGCAGAGAAAGGGGAGAGAGACCCTCTTGTTCTGTTCTGGCTGTTTTTCTGCTCCAGATCTCGATTTCCTTCACCTGAGCTTATACATTAACTTAAGATGATCCAAACAAAGTAAGGAAAGCAATCCCAAATGCTTTCATTTACTTAAAATTATTTGGCAGAGAATTCGACACTTTAATGATGGTCTGGGCCTGGCTGGGGCGATGGCACGCGTGCCCACAGAGAGGGCTCTGAGTGCCACCTCTGGCACCCGTGCCATAGGTTCGCCCCCACTGTGCTATATTATTAAATAACTTTCCCTTTTCACCACAGTTATGAGTTAGAATCAGTTAATCACCGTCTTTTATCGAAGGAACAAGTTTCTGCTCTGGAGATGAGGTGTCCCTCATCTTAGGTTTCGATCCGAGAATTTCAAAGCTTGAAAAGCCCCATTGTTGCACTCGGGTGAAGTCTTGTTTGAGGGAGAGGCGAGGAGAAAGCGGCGTGGGCCACGGCTGTTGTTCAAAGAGAGCAGCCGGGGTTCTTCCGTACGTCAAAGATGGCAGCTGTAATGAAAAAAAAGTGAGACGAGGGAACCTTACGGCAGGCTTAAACCTCTTAAATGACAAACCTATAATTTGCAGGAGAAAAATGATTCCCTGAATGCACGTTATATCTCCAAGTTCCAAATTGCTGAGTTCTTGTAGAAATTGGTTTCTGCCCAGGAGGAGATAATGTCAGTCAAGTCACTTGCTCTCTGGGGAGGGGGGGGGAGGGCGGGAGAAGGGAGCCCTCCCATTCACGGAACAGCAGTTGTTGGAAAGCTAAACATTAAATTCAATTTCAGCTCTTTAGCTGGGGTTTCACCATCACTTCAGAGCACAAAGCTGGGCCACAAAGCGAGAGTCGGGTTGAAGGGACGCTCTGACAGATTGGAGGAGGTGAAGGCAGCGTCTCGCTGGGCAGGCGGCCTGGCATTGGCTCCGGCAAGGACGCTCTCTCCCTTTGGATCTTCATCTTGCAAGGCCCGTCGGAGCAGGCATTCGAGCCATACCGTTAGAGGAGGGATGTTCCGACTGCTGATCCGGACC